GGAGGTCCTCCAACAACAGCCGGAGGTCCTCCAACAACAGCCGGAGGTCCTCCAACAACAGCCGGAGGTCCTCCAAGAGGCCGCGGTCGCCCGAGGTGCTGTGGTCCTCCAACACCACGCAGTCCTCCAAGGAGCCGTGGTACCCCCGGAAGCTGAGGTCCTCCAAGACTCTATGGTCAGCCAGGGGTCTGTGGTCCTCCAAGGCTCCGTGGTCCTCCAGCACCCTACTGTCCTCCGAGACTCCGTGCTCAACCGAGGGTCCATGGTCCTCCAAGACCCCGTGGTCCACCTGGAGACAGAGGTCCCCCAAGACTCTATGGTCCGCCAGGACCCCAATGTCAACCAAGACGTCGTCGTCCTCCAAGACTCTATGGTCAGCCGGGGGTCCGTGGTCCTCCAAGGCCCTGTGGTCCTCCAACACCCCGCGGTCCAGCTGGAGGCAGAGGTCAACCGAAGGTCCGTGGTCCTCCAAGACCCCACGGTCCTCCAAGATCTCAATGGCAGCCGAGACTCCGTGGTCCTCCAAGACTCCGTGCTCAGCCGAGGCTCCGCGGTCCTCCAAGACCCCGCGATCCACCTGGAGACAGAGGTCCTCCAACACCCCTCGCTCCTCCCCTCCCCCGTGAGCCCCCCGGAGCCCGACCCCCTCCAGGGTCCCACCGCCGCCCCCGGCCCTGTGATCGACCGACGCTCTGTGACCCCCCAGCGTTTCGTCCCCGCAGACCTGGAGGACCCCACAGCCCTCGGGGACGCAGAGGGCCGCCGGGACTCTATGGTCAGCTGCGGCCCCACAGATCAGCAGGAGCTGAAGACCCCCCACGACTCCACGGCCCCTCTGGATCTGGAGGTCCTCCAGAACTCTGTGTCCAACTGCCGCCCCACAGCCCCTCTAGGCCCCGAGGCTCAGCCCAACTCTATGGTTGACCGTGACACAACGGAACACCTTGACTTGAAGGCCCACCACGACTCTACGGCCAATCACGACCCAACAGCCGCTCTAGGCCTCAAGGTCCTCCACAGCTCTGTGGCCAGCTGCAGCCCCACGGCCACTGTAGACCTCAGTGCCCACTGTGACTCTGTGATTAACCGTGACCCAACGGCTGCTCTAGGCCTCAAGGTCCCCCAGAACTCTATGATCAACTGCAGCCCCACGGCCACTCTAGGCCCCAAGGCCCACTGTGACTCTATGGCCAACTGCGACCCAACGGACACTCTAGGCCCCAACGCCCACCACGACTCTACGGTCAAACGCAGCCCCGTGACTCCTCTAGTCCCAAAGGCCCACTGTGACTCTACGGCCAACCATGACCCAACGGCTGCTCTAGGCCTCAAGGTCCTCCAGAACTCTGTGGTCAACGGCAGCCCCATGGCCACTCTAGGCCTGAAGACCCACCAAGACTCCATGGTCCACCACAGCTCCACGGCCGCTCAAGGCCTCAGTGCCCACCGAGACTCTATGATCAACCACAACCCAGTGGCCGCTCTAAGCCCAAAGTCCCACTGCGACTCTATGGCCAACCATGACCCAGTGGCCACTCTAGGCCCCAGTACTTGCAGTGACTCTATGGTCAGTTGCAGCCCCATGGCCACTCTAGGCCCAAAGACCCCCCACAACTCTATGACCAACCACGACACACTGTCCACTCTAGGCCCGAAGACCCCCCGCAACTCTATGACCCAGTGCAGCTTTACGGCCACTCTAACCCTGAAGACCCCCCGCAACTCTATGACCCACCACAGCCCTATGG